TATTAGCGGCGATATGCAATCTGACGAAGTTCGTGCAACTGTATGCAGTAAAGGATGTAAAAGCAACAACGACAGTCAGATGTCTTGAAAAATTCGTGAATAAATTTGGAGCACCTAATCGCTTTATCACTGATCAAGGCACATCCTTCACGTCAAAACAGTTCGACGAATTTTGTAAACACCACGGTATTAAACATACACTAAATTCGAGCCGACATGCTCAGGCTAACGGGCAGATAGAACGTTTAAACCAAACAATAATACCGGCGCTACAGGTAAATTTGGCGAATGGTGATCCGTCGGGATGGGATAGGCATATCGAGCGACTTGAGCGCGATTTAAATAGTTCCATAAACAAAACAACCAATCGCACCCCGTTTGAGATGTTGTATGGGTATTTACCACGATTTGCCGAGGGTCACACTCGTCAACTAACGATAGATGCTGAAAACTATCGCGTACCAGAAGAAATTAGACGTGAAGCGATACAAAAAATTGAAATTGAGCAAAATAAATCTAAAGAAAGATACGATAGGTCAAGAATAAAAAATGTTACGTATAATGTCGGTGATATCATTTTTGTTAAAACCAACCCGGTAGCTACTGGCGAATCAACAAAACTGCAATCTCGTTATAAAGGTCCATTTGTAGTCGAAAAAATATTGCCATCTGATACGTATAGTATAAAAAGTTTAATCACAAATTCTGTAAAAGGTAAAACAACCGCTCATGTGAGTCAAATGAAAATTTGGCAAGGGTGTACCGATAGCGAAATTAGCAAGCACGATACAATGGAAGATGAGAGTGCGAGTGAAGATTTAACTGAAGCTTCCGATAGCGAAACATATGAGTCTACCAGCGGTACACATAAGAATTCAAAAAAGCGCGAAATTGATCATCGTAAAAAGCTTAAAGAAATTAATCTACCACAAATATCCGGGAAGCGAGAACGTCGACCACCCAAACGTTACGAAGATTATGACATGTAAGGGCTTGGGGTCCAAGCTCCTGTAGGATGGCCGATTGTTATACTCCTATAATATATATGTATACTTACCTACTCTAAACTGATCTATACAAATGTACGGCAACTGTGTGCGTGTGTGTATGCGCTACTTGCGTTGCGATATGTATGTGTAAACAAGGCATGATATGTGATGACTGTGATGGGAGTCGAGAGTCGAGAGTCGCGAGACAACGAGACGCTGAAGCGGGCGCAGCGACGCGGCGTGGCGGCTCCTGGCACTCTAACGAGAGTGTCGAGGCGAGAGAGGCAAGCATGAGGCATTCGGGTCTCGTGTGTCGAGAGAACGACAACGTGTGAGAGAGAGTGACTGCGATCGTGCGAGTTGCCAAAAAGCCTACATAGTGTAACAAACCAACAGTTCATTAAAATATATAAACAGATTTTTAATATATATCCTGACTTGAGTCTCACTGCAACTTTTCTCCTTACAAAAGTTATGTGTAAGCCTTTGGCAGAAAAATTATGTGACAGCAAAATATATTTGGAAAAAAAGGAGTATCCTCATTTAGATCCAAATTTGACCAGTGTCAGTTATTTAACCAGAGCGAGTGACTGTTTTGTTAAAATAATTAGTTTCCAATTACATGCATTTAACGATTACTACGCAAGTGTTTGGCATCAAAGAAAATTGCTTGTGACTTTGAAAGAAATAATTGAAAAATACACAAATTAGAGATTTCTTGAATGGTTCGATAAAACCAATAAATGGTAAAACTACAGATTATTTGCGTTTGAAAAGATGTTATAAGTCAAAATTTATCGGAAAACAAGTGATCATAATCGTAGTAAAAGGCACGATTTAGATAATGAGTTTGTCACTAAAAATAATAAATTGCGAATCGTTAAACATCAACAATACATCGTTTATATATGTAAAAATTTAGTTTCTAGTCATAAGTTACTTAAGTTATTTAGAAAGATGAAAACATTTAATCATTCTGAAATTTTATTTTTCAAATCATTTATAACAAGATATTCAAGTTTTAATATCGGTTTCAATTATTAGAAAATTAACAATATAGTTGTTCGTTATTCGATGCTGCAAGGTAACTTTTGAATTCCGTATTGAGTATATACTGTTATGATATTAAATAATTTTGTTAAGTTGTATAATTTTTAAATTCTATTACTATACTTACCTACTCTAAACTGATATATACAAATGTACGGCAACTGTGTGCGTGTGTGTATGCGCTACTTGCGTTGCGATATGTATGTGTAAACAAGGCATGATATGTGATGACTGTGATGGGAGTCGAGAGTCGAGAGTCGCGAGACAACGAGACGCTGAAGCGGGCGCAGCGACGCGGCGTGGNGCCGTTTTATACATGTATACAATCTTTCGATATTCATGTGTGTCGTTACTTACATGTACCTAGTCCTACTTTAGATTATATTCAGACAGCTTAAAAGCCAGTCGGTTATATAATAGCAGATATAGATATTATTTAATATTAAGTGGACGTTACTCTACATAATTTGTAAGTTTATTTATTCTATTTAATTGTTTACACTTGTAGTTTACGGTAGCTGTTGTAATATTTATTTTCATTATAATTATTTTAACTCAGAGACTTAAAAAGGACTGCCTTAAGTGCAGTCGAAACGTTGTCAACTGAATAAATGACTGAACAGTAAGCCCTTGGAGTTTATTAATTCTTGACTCAAATAATTGTACACTAAACGTATTAGGATATTTAAATCAAAGCCATTTTACCCCAAATACCTTTGAAGTAATGAATATTTAATTAGCAACGCAACTTCGCTGAGCCGTTGAATGGCTGCTGCAGTTCATACTGCTTCTCAGGATCCTCGTGGGTTGGCCTCTGACACCGCGGCAAACTCTGTAAGGTTCATTGAGACGTTAGATGCTGTAATAGATGCATGCAACAGTTACTCTTTGCGCCCAGTTGACAAACAGAAACTCCCTTTATCTGATAACAATCCAGAGATCCTGGAACGCTTAAATTCATTTATTGACTGGTCTGAAAAATGGTATACTGTGGTTTTAACTAAAAGTTCTGCGGGTAAAGATTGTATTAGACGCTCGAGACCTTGTTTCACTGGTTTATCACAAACAGTAAGAGCTTTAACTTTACTTTATAAATATTTAAATGCGGATTTCCCTAATTTTACGCTTGTGACAGATCTTTGCAACCAACGTAGCGTTAAACATGCTCATTCTAAATTTCGAAGAAGATGCAGTTTTATTTTAATCCTACCTGCAGAATGTATCGTTTAAGTTTTAGATACGTCTTATTAACTGATGACATTGGTACCAGTAAGCGAGGTACCGTTATTTTAAATAAAACTCACTCATCAGTTTTATTTACTGAAAAAACGCCAAGTACAAATGAAATAACATCGATGGGTACAACTGATAATCGTAAACAATTAAATTTTGATCGTAATCTTAATCCACGTGAAGAAGAAAGTACAATGTTGCCTAAATATAACTCTGCTGAAGTTGACAAAATCAATAAGCTTTTAAACATTGCTAAAATAATGCAATCATTTGTACCTCATAGATTCTACAACATGCCAGATTTTGAAGAAAAACCCTTATTTGAACAAAATTAAGTAAAATTTCTCAGTGGCTATGTATGTAAAGCGTTGCTAATAAAAATAGGTGTTCTGATTGTAAAAAAGTGTTATACTCCTATAATATATATGTATACTTACCTACTCTAAACTGATATATACAAATGTACGGCAACTGTGTGCGTGTGTGTATGCGCTACTTGCGTTGCGATATGTATGTGTAAGCAAGGCATGATATGTGATGACTGTGATGAGAGTCGAGAGTCGAGAGTCGCGAGACAACGAGACGCTGAAGCGGGCGCAGCGACGCGGCGTGGCGGCTCCTGGCACTCTAACGAGAGTGTCGAGGCGAGAGAGGCAAGCATGAGGCATTCGGGTCTCGTGTGTCGAGAGAACGACAACGTGTGAGAGAGAGTGACTGCGATCGTGCGAGTTGCCAAAAAGCCTACATAGTGTAACAAACCAACAGTTCATTAAAATATATAAACAGATTTTTAATATATATCCTGACTTGAGTCTCACTGCAACTTTTCTCCTTACAAGTCAGAAGTGGGATAGCTACGAAAACTGTTAGTAGCTTATATATATAGTAAGTGGAGAAGAACCGGTGAGTGGAAGTGAGAACTTGGCTTTTGGCGTGTTGACGATCAACAACGGACAGTTGAGAAGTGAAGTTTTTTTTTCCCCTCCTATCTCTCTCTCTCTCTCTCTGAGGCGTGGTAAATCGTGAGCGTCGCGTTGAAAAACGTTTTGTTTGAAACAAAAAAAAGACATTAAGTATTTGCTGGCACCGAGTCGGAAGCAAATGCAGCATTGCAGGCATAGGTGCTGTTGTGTTCGTTCGCGGTAGATAGTCCGTGCATAGTGCGGATAAACGGAATATCTTGTGTGCGAGCGAGGTGGTAGCCGGTGGCAGACGTGCCGAGACGATCATCGTGCTGCACAACGAAAGCGGTCACGCATGAAAAGAAATTCGGAGGTAAGCCTCACGCCTAAATTAAGTAACAAAGGACGAAAGGCACCTCGTGTACACAGCCCAGTATTTTCGACGATAGCGTGTTCATTCCAAGATATAAGAGCGATGGATAGGAACGACGCAGCAAACGCCTTGCTGTTCATACAACAGCAGCAACAACAGCAGCAAGGAGGGCCACCCAACCTAGAAAATCAAGGCGGAATTCAAATTAACAACAATCAAGCACAGCCTCAAGACAACATGGCGGCGCTCGTGCAGGCCTTGACGGACGTTATGCGACAGAATGCATTGATTCTCGATAACGCCCAAGCTAACCAGAATCGGAATTATAGTGTTTTACCAGACCTGTCGCACAACATCGCTGAATTTGATGGACTTACAGGGCCGGGACATGCTCGTGCATGGTTGAAGCAGCTTGAGTCGACCGCGACTTTGCATAAGTGGACGGAAGCTGTAGCCTTTGAGACGGCGCGAAGCAGATTGTCGAAGGCAGCGAAAAATTGGTATTTGGCAAACATCGACGCCATTACGAACTGGCAGCAATTCCGACAGGCGTTTGCAAATACCTTTATGACACAGAAGTCTTTAACGGAAAGATTCCAAGAAATGTCTAATCGTACACAAGGTCAAAACGAAAACACGGCAGAGTATTATTTTGACAAAATGCGCTTGTGCAAGGCTTTGGATCTCGGGTTCGAAGAAATTAAAACGCAAATGGCAATTGGATTGTGGTCAAGAACAACTGCTACCGCCATTTTAAGCCGCACGCACTTCGACGCAGATGAGCTGTTACGTAACATCCAAGAGCTCGAAGGATTAGAAGCTGCCCGAAAACAGCGCATAGGCGCGAAATCATACGCCGCGCAGCGAGCTACGGCCAACGGACAACGACATGCGACATCTAAATCTTCGGCACAGTGGACCGGCAATGCAGCAGGAAGCAGCGGAGCAACAGGTGCGGTCAACGTCAAGGAAGAGCCTTCGGAAGAAAAACCAGGTGATGAAAAAACCAATGTGAAGTGTTATCGTTGTCGCGAGCGCGGTCATATTTCTAAAAATTGTACAGTTAAACGCGAGACGAAATGTTTTAATTGCGGTGAAGTCGGTCATATCTCGAAAGATTGCTCGCGGCCTAAGAAGTTATCCGATGCGTCTTCTTTTCTTGTCAATTCATTAGATAACTCGAGCGTGGAAAAGTATAGGAAAGTCGTGGAGTTAGATGGCGAGCGATTTGAGGCTTTGATTGACGCGGGAAGTTCGGACTGTACAATAAAGGCGTCTCTAGTACTAGCAAACCAGTTTTCTTTTGTTCGTGCTGTGAACACACTTGTCGGATTTGGTAAGGTTGGCAACGAGGTAATTTCTCCTGGTGTGGTAAACGTGCGCGTTCGTGTAGATCAGTTTCGATAGGAAAAAATCACACGATGAGGTTAGGGCAAGCGCAACGACGTGTATTCCAAGTGCAAGCGTTAACTTTATTAACATAACGGTGAATAAAGAGAACTTAGTACTACCTATACAAAACGCATGCAAAGCAGATATTATTGTAAAAAAGGACGACGCATTAAGCAACTTGGTTATGTCAATCGTAGGCAACGCGCCGGAAATACCCCCTCGTCGCGAGTGTATATTAGAAAGCGACGTGTCAATGTCAGACGACATGAATGCTGAACAAAAAGACCATCTCTTATATCTGCTGAATAAATACCGGGAAAGTTCAGCAATGAACGATCTTGAAATAGGCTGTTGCCAAGAACAATACATGGATATAGTCGAGATACCCGGTAGTAGGCCTGTATATTGCAAACCTTACAAAGCGAACACAGAGCAACGCGAAATAATAAAAAAAATAGTAGGCGAATGGAAGCGAGTAGGCATTGCACGCGAAACGGATTCAGCTTACGCAAGCCCTTGCTTATTAGTGAAAAAGTCGGACGGCACACATAGACTCGTAGTTGATTACCGGCGCCTGAATAGTCAAACTATAAGGATGAATTTCCCCACGCCTAACGTAGATGACGGGTTAGAGGAACTTCATGGGGCAAAAATATTTGCAACTTTAGACTTGGCTCACGGTTATTTACAAATGCCGCTGACTGAGCAGGCGAAGGAAAAAACCGCCTTTATTACCCCAGACGAGACAGGAGAGTTTGAAAGGGCTATGTTCGGATTAATGAACGCTCCATTTTACTTTGTAAAATTGATTAAGAAGGTGTTCGGTAAATATGGAAATAAGCTCGCGCTGAATTTCATTGATGATTTTTTAATTTACGCTAAATCTTGGGATGAATTTTTTGAAAAATTAGAACTTATTTTGAAGCTACTAAAAAAGGCGGGACTTACTTTAAATTTAAAAAAATGTAAATTCGGATTGAAAATGGTTATGTACTTAGGTTTTACGATTGATGGGTACAGTGTCAGGCCTAATAAAGAAAAGGTAAAGGCTATCGCTGAGTTTCCGAGACCGCAGAACGTTCATGAAGCCCGTAGATTTCTGGAAATGGCGAGTTATTTCAGGAGATTTGTTAAGGATTTCGCAAAAATTACGGCACCGATCGTAGAACTATTCAGAGGAGAAACACCCTTCGTGTGGACCGATAATCGTGAGAACGCATTTAACGAGATCAAGAGTAAATTGTGCAGTGAGCCGGTGTTAGCACATTACAATGCAAAGGCAAAACGGACCGAGCTGCATACCGATGCATCAGGTGACGGGTTAGGGGCGATCCTTTTGCAATCTGACGTGAACGATAAAATGCACCCTGTGCATGCGATCAGCCGTCGAACATCCGATGTTGAACGCGCCTATCATTCTAGTAGATTAGAATTTTTAGCTATCGTTTGGGCAATGGAACGGTTGAGACCTTGGTTGATCGGCTTGCATTTTGTTGTCGTCACTGATTGTCAAGCGTTGGTGTATGTCAATTCTTTGAAAACCAAAAACCCTCAGATTGTTCGTTGGCTGTCCGCAATCGCAGAATTCGACTACGATATCCGACACCGCAAGGGAGAACTCATGAAACATGTAGATGCTTTATCTCGAGCACCTACGGAACCTCCTCAAGAGTTAGATCGGGCAGTCATGTATAATGTAAATGTTCACGAGGGCGAAATATTAATGTACCAACGTACTGATGAAACTCTGGCACGTAAAATCCAAATATTAGAAAAACCTGAACGCGACAGAACAAAACGTGAGAAAGGCGAGGTATACGACTACGTGTTAAGATGCGGAATTTTATATAAAACTAGCGCGTCCGGGAAAGAATTGTACGTAGTCCCACGAGCCATGAGAAAGGCGATTGTTATTAAAAATCACGACCTAACGAGTCACTGCGGAACCGACCGAACGGTTGCTCGAATCAGTAATTATTATTATTTTCCTCACATGAAAAAATATGTCAAGCGTCACATTGCGTCATGCATCGAATGTCTGCTAGCGAAAAATATGTCAGGAAAAGGGAAAGGAGAATTGCACCCTATACCCCCAGGTGACAGACCTTTTGCGATAGTACACATAGATCACTTAGGTCCGTTTGTTTCGACTCCTAGAGGCAATAAATATGTATTAGCGGCGATATGCAATCTGACGAAGTTCGTGCAACTGTATGCAGTAAAGGATGTAAAAGCAACAACGACAGTCAGATGTCTTGAAAAATTCGTGAATAAATTTGGAGCACCTAATCACTTTATCACTGATCAAGGCACATCCTTCACGTCAAAACAGTTCGACGAATTTTGTAAACACCACGGTATTAAACATACACTAAATTCGAGCCGACATGCTCAGGCTAACGGGCAGATAGAACGTTTAAACCAAACAATAATACCGGCGCTACAGGTAAATTTGGCGAATGGTGATCCGTCGGGATGGGATAGGCATATCGAGCGACTTGAGCGCGATTTAAATAGTTCCATAAACAAAACAACCAATCGCACCCCGTTTGAGATGTTGTATGGGTATTTACCACGATTTGCCGAGGGTCACACTCGTCAACTAACGATAGATGCTGAAAACTATCGCGTACCAGAAGAAATTAGACGTGAAGCGATACAAAAAATTGAAATTGAGCAAAATAAATCTAAAGAAAGATACGATAGGTCAAGAATAAAAAATGTTACGTATAATGTCGGTGATATCATTTTTGTTAAAACCAACCCGGTAGCTACTGGCGAATCAACAAAACTGCAATCTCGTTATAAAGGTCCATTTGTAGTCGAAAAAATATTGCCATCTGATACGTATAGTATAAAAAGTTTAATCACAAATTCTGTAAAAGGTAAAACAACCGCTCATGTGAGTCAAATGAAAATTTGGCAAGGGTGTACCGATAGCGAAATTAGCAAGCACGATACAATGGAAGATGAGAGTGCGAGTGAAGATTCAACTGAAGCTTCCGATAGCGAAACATATGAGTCTACCAGCGGTACACATAAGAATTCAAAAAAGCGCGAAATTGATCATCGTAAAAAGCTTAAAGAAATTAATCTACCACAAATATCCGGGAAGCGAGAACGTCGACCACCCAAACGTTACGAAGATTATGACATGTAAGGGCTTGGGGTCCAAGCTCCTGTAGGATGGCCGATTGTTATACTCCTATAATATATATGTATACTTACCTACTCTAAACTGATCTATACAAATGTACGGCAACTGTGTGCGTGTGTGTATGCGCTACTTGCGTTGCGATATGTATGTGTAAGCAAGGCATGATATGTGATGACTGTGATGGGAGTCGAGAGTCGAGAGTCGCGAGACAACGAGACGCTGAAGCGGGCGCAGCGACGCGGCGTGGCGGCTCCTGGCACTCTAACGAGAGTGTCGAGGCGAGAGAGGCAAGCATGAGGCATTCGGGTCTCGTGTGTCGAGAGAACGACAACGTGTGAGAGAGAGTGACTGCGATCGTGCGAGCTGCCAAAAAGCCTACATAGTGTAACAAACCAACAGTTCATTAAAATATATAAACAGATTTTTAATATATATCCTGACTCGAGTCTCACTGCAACTTTTCTCCTTACAATATGTATAATTATTGTTATTTACGTATAAAAAAATGTAGCAGAAACACATTTCTGTACGGAGTCACATGGGTGAGAAAATCCTACTGTTGGCCAACATAACCTTAGCAGCTTTTTCCGTAACATCACGCCTCTGTTCTTCTACTTATTGTACTTAATTTTAATAAGAAAGTGAAATGTAATTAAAGTTCTTTTTGTTAATGCTAGACAAATCGAGTTCAGTTTGCAATTGTATTGAAAATATTCGTACCTTAATAGTTTTTTTTAATTTACCAACTAAATTATATTTTTTCATTTCTGTAAGGCATTAATTTTTATTTCACTAAATAATGCTGTCCAACATATTTTACCTATACGTTCTAGACTAACGTTATTTAAATTTTACATGCTACTTTTTTTTCTAGCCAGGAATTATGAAACCAGACAGGATACTTATCTCTGTATGCAAAAACTACTTNTACTTAAGTTATTTAGAAAGATGAAAACATTTAATCATTCTGAAATTTTATTTTTCAAATCATTTATAACAAGATATTCAAGTTTTAATATCGGTTTCAATTATTAGAAAATTAACAATATAGTTGTTCGTTATTCGATGCTGCAAGGTAACTTTTGAATTCCGTATTGAGTATATACTGTTATGATATTAAATAATTTTGTTAAGTTGTATAATTTTTAAATTCTATTACTAGTACAAAATAAGGTAAGCATACTGCATTTTACCGTTAAAGAATCGTTCAGAAAAAATTTCATACTTCAGATTGCGTTATTATTAATGACGTTAGCAAAATCTTGAATATTTTAAAAGTATTTCAAATATAAATTCTAAACTTTTTTATCTTTTGCACATTAAAAATGTTGGATTATTATTTCTTAGAAAATTCTGTAGAAAAAATTTCTTGTTTCTATGCCAAACACGTAGACTATTTTTGTGTTGTATATAAAATTTAGTATAGTTTATTATTATTATCATTATTTTTATTATGATGATTATTATTATTGTTATTATTTTATTAACTGCAATAAAGTCAAATTATATATCTCATGAAGTAGGATTGCAAATATGAATATCTCTGTGTGTCACTGAGAACTTTACAATTATTTTCAATTTGAGTAGGCATGGAAAGATTAAACGTTACTTATGTTTATCGTAAAGTTTCAAAGCTTAAGATTTAATTTAAGCTTTATCGTATTATTACAATTAAACTATAAATTAATGGTTAACAAACATGAATTATTTTAAAAATAAGAAAGACTTCAGCGCAGTAGGGCGTTTGGGTAAAGCCGTTTGTATATTATTAAATAATATTACTCATTACAAAAAAACAAAAAATTTGAGCGTACTGTGTCGTAATGGTAAATGCGTTCATTTATTATTCAATAATTTT